TCGAATTGTAGTTTCAATATACAGTGTGTCCCACTTACCATGCTCACCATGGGTATCTTTTTAACGGTGAGAGATACGAAGTCGGTTAAATGACACCAAATGTGGAGTTTGTCAAGGCCAACTATAATGTGAAAAAATATTTTGATAAAATCTATTCGTTTTTGTTTTATACGCAAAAAACAGATTTCGATCATTTCCATGTCTCCTCCGTAACTTCTTTATTTATGAAAATATTCAAATAGGAATTTCACATCCTCATAGCAGTTTTTCAAAGTGATTTCGAAAAAAAAATGAAATTTATACTAACTCTTGAGATATCAGCACCAACTTCAGTTTTTCAAATGTAGGTCATAGCTCACTATGACTTAGTTACAAATAACTTTTTTTTCTCTTACAGATGATATGTCGCAGTAATAGTTTTGTGTTGATAACAACGGAGTTATCGTCATTTATACAAAAACAAAAAATTATTTGGAAGCCGCCATCTTGAATTTATAAATTTCAACAAAAAAATCATGATCTCCGACCTCAAAAATCCCCACTTACCAATTTTGAATGTAATCGGTCCAAATCTTGTCCGCCATCTTGGAGCAGCCATTTTTTTAAAATTTAACAAAAATTCCATAATGTATTGTCACCGAAATTATGAACACCAGCCAAATTTCAAGTTAATCGGAGTTATGGAATTTTTGTTGAAATTAAAAAAAATGGCTGCTCCAAGATGGCGGACAAGATTTGGTCAGATTCCATTCAAAATTGGTAAGTGGGGGTTTTTGAGGTCGGAGATCATGATTTTTGTTGAAATTTATAAATTCAAGATGGCGGCTTCCAAATAATTTTTTGTTTTTGTATAAATGACGATAACTCCGTTGTTATCAACACAAAACTATTACTGTGCCATGTCATATTATGTAGGAGAAAAAAAAGTTATTGGTAGCTAAGTCATAGTGAGCTATGACCTACATTTGAAAAACTGAAGTTGGTGCTGATATCTCAAATTCTAGAAGAGTTGGTATAAATTTCATATTTTTTTCGAAATCACTTTGAAAAACTGCCATGAGGATGTGAAATTCCTATTTGAATATTTTCATAAATAAAGAAGTTACGGAGGAGACATGAAAATGATCAAAATCTGTTTTTTGCGTATAAAACAAAAACGAATAGATTTTATCGAAATATTTTTTCACGTTATAGTTGGCCTTGACAAACTCCACATTTGGTGTCATTTAACCGACTTCGTATCTCTCACCGTTAAAAAGATACCCATGGTGAGCATGGTAAGTGGGACACACTGTATATAGAACCTCAGAGTGACCCTTTGTGTATCATATTGAATCGATGAATTCATTTGGACCAGGTGTCAGCCCTTAAAACAAATACCGCGCCAGTGCAGGTATAGGAAAAAAAAGTGGAAAATGTTGGGTTAGTGAGCATATCAACAATAATTAATAAATAATAGGGATTATTCATTTCTCTCCATCCATATTCCACTGTGTTTGGCTGGGTAATTAAATGGAGGTAAACGCTAACAAGTTATCCAATCAATCAGATCCCGAGAATAACTGAAATACAGATCGAGCAAGTATGTGAATCTTGAAGGCTTTCCTGATCAAAACAAAAATACTTAACTATAATACGGTGTATTTATATCTTCAGCATGGGTATGAACTGCCAAATCTGCCGAAATCGGGATCAAATCAGGTATGCGTCCCAACCGAAATATCCAACTTTAACAATGTTGTTTAGCAATGACCTGGTACATCCTTTTTAGTTCCCAGGAGCTAAAGACATACAGCATTTTTTCCAAAGAAAATAATTATTTTCTGCAACCGACACAAAAATCATCCATTTTGATACCAAAATTAGCTCTTAAATTGACGTTTCCATTACTGACACAAAAATAGGTATGTTGCTAGGCAACATATTTAGTTCCTAGGAGCTAAAGTTGAATTTTAGTTCCTAGGAGCTAAAGTTGAACTTTAGCTTCTAGGAACTAAAAAGGATCTACTGGACGTCATCAAGAATAAACAACATTGTGACGGTTGGTTATTTGGTTTGAGACGCATACCTGATTTGTTTCCGATTTCAGCAGATTTGGCATTTCATACCCATGCTGGAGATATAAATACACCTTATTATAATTTAGTATTGAAATTATAAACATCTCAGTTAAGTATTTTTGTTTTGATCAGTGAAGCCTTCAAGATTCAAATACTTGCTTGATCTGTATTTCATTCGTTATTCTCGGGATGGATAACTTGTTTTTGAATAATCACGGCAAGCAATAGTTTTTTTTTGTCTCAAACAACGATATTGTATAGCTCTATTTGATTATCAAGTCAAACACAGTGTAGTATGGAGAGGAATGAAAATAATCATTATTATCATTGTTGATATGCTCACTAACCTAACATTTTCCACGTCTTGTTCCTATAGCTGGCACTGGCGCGGTATTTGCCATCAGAGCACCTGGTCCATACACAAATATGTCACTCTGTGGTTGTATTTATATTGAAACTACAATTCGAACATCCTAGAAAACCTAACTTGCTGTTAATGCAGGTAGAATATTCTCACCACATGGATTATTTGTCAATATTTGTTGCATTGCATACATATGGCACGGCATTCGTGGTTACTTCACATGTTTATTTGAGTTAATTGTTTCGGTTGCAGAAAAAATAGCATGTTTCATTCGGATCAAAAGTGACTTTGTTCGACTCGCAAATTTTTATTTCGCTCGGCTTCGCTAAACGCTCCGCCTCGCAAATGCAAAATTCGCTTGTCAAACAAAGAGTCACTTTTGATCCTAATAAAACAATCTACTATTTATTAGGAAACGGTGTGATCGACAAAAAAAGTATATCCTGTGTTTTTCTTGGAAACCAAAAATTTATTTTGTCAATTGCGAATGAGGTGATTTTTTTCGAAAACATGAAGAACAATAATATGAAGTTATTATTCCTGAAAAAAAAAAAAAAAAAATATATAATGAAAAATCGAAATTTCAATGAAAACAAACGGCACTGTTTTGAATGATATTTGTCTCTCATAAACCGATCATATTGATGGTTATTCATACCGGTCCAATTTTGTACGCTATAGATAGCCAATCTTAAAGAAGATGAAAATGCAATAATAAACGTATGTTAATAAATACACACAACAGAAAATATTAGCACCACCGTAGTCAGAGTTTTTTTATGTATTTATCAACTTTTGTTATTCAATTTGACTTTTTCTTTAGTTTGGCTATCTATAAAAGAGTATTTTTCAGTTTTTTCAACTACAATTCATTTATGGAACATTGTCAGTGAGGTATATTGTTTCAGAAAAAATTGAATAGCATATATGGAATCAGTCACGAAAATCATCAGAATAACTGAAACTTCAACGCCCTATGCCTCAATAACAATTCATTGGGGGACATATTATGTCCTAATCTCATCTCATTTTGATGTACTTTATCGATTCCTGAAGTTTAAGAATTGATAACTGACCCACCCTGTTTGAGTGTTTCTGAACCGCTGATCAAATGAAGTGTTATTTGTCATATTTTGCTTTCAAAATTCGAAATCAATAAAACTTCGGGACCATTTTGAGTCGCCTCACGTGATTTTGACTAATACGTTGTAATATTATTGTTACGGGATTTAGTAATAGCAAAGTTCAGCTAGCTTTATATTTTTTGAAATTATATTTTTTTTCCTCCCAATCCTCTCCTTTAAGCTGTACTTCTCTATTGATGCAGAGCTATAAGCCAGACACTCATATCAACTTAGTAAATTTCATTTCTTTAGATATTCTACAGTAACACGTGAAATTCACCGAATATTCTTCAATGGGGAAGTTCTTATCTCAGTGTGAAGTTTGTAAAAACGTAATTTATGCGTATGTTTTCTTTTTTTCGTAAGATCAAATTTCACTTCTGAAAAAAATAAATAAAAGAGGAACTTGGCTCCTCCACCATTCATATGACGAACTTTCAAATCCACATTCACACAGAGTTAAAATACGATTCCCTGTGCCAGTACGACGTAGCCGACATCATCAATATGTTTAGATTTCCGGAAATTGTTCTTTGAATGCATAATAACTATATCTAACAGCAATGGGATATAATAGGTTCTTCAATCCTACTTTGTTAAGTATTATGAATAATTCCCATAAATCTCTCATTGGCTGAATGAATTTGATCACTAATAAAGATAAATTATGATATTTTGCGATAGTATCTATAATTTTTCACTATCGTTATATTACAATACGTTATTCATAACTTGCCCGTCATTTTTTGTTAATGAACTCGTTCCTTGATAAAACGGATCTATTTTCTAGGAAAGTTGCAGATTATATCTTGCAACAGCGCATAATAGTTCGAGTCCGTTCACACCACTCAAAATACTGACAGGCACAACAAGAGGAAGGAGCCATGGGTGTCGGCTTCATTCTGTTCTGAGCGATGACAGTAAATTAGGATGGATAGTATTATTGAATGTATCCGATAGTAATTCATTGATTCAATGCTATTTTCGTATAACATCGAGCTCTATTCGAGATATTTCAATGCCTAAATAACAAAACCATAACCTGTCAGAATGAAGCCAACTACCCTCTGAATCCCTGCTCCGAGTGCATTCGTGGTTATGTATGTTTTTATTTACCAGTTTTACTTCTATTTTTTCATTCCTTTTTCATTCGTTATCTATTCGCTAGCTATCTTCACCATCATCTATTTTCAGACTAGATTCAGAATGTACGTCACAGTTTGCCTCCCCAAAAATTAGAAATTGCTTTAATTTGAAAATGAAAACGACTTGACCTTTATCGATCGCTATTATGTAAAGCGTGGACATAAAACTGGAGAGTTCTGAACTTATTTTATGAAAATTCAATTGAAGGAAACTTCCCCATTTATTAACTCCCTTCATGTTACTGTATGATACTTTCTTCTTCTAACATTTCGAGGTTGAATAATGCCTAAAATATTTTATGAACAGGGGAAAGGTTGGATCCCAATAACTGTCCATGGTGTCCCCCATACATGGCAGATATTGCAGGGAAGTTTATGTTTGTTATTCTGTGAATGAGTTTTACTTTAATGCAGAAGGAAACTGGAATATTTCATGTTCTCATAAGGCCGTTTTTTCGAGAGTATTATAATCGATTAATGATTCATCGTGTGGCAAGAAAAATGTTTGTGTTTCAGGGGAACAAAATGTATAAAACTCGTTAGCTCGTTATTTCATCTAGAAATAAAATATTCAACTCATACTGACTAGAGTTGCTACATGTACTTGACACTGCTGTTCTGATGTTTTTTGTATATTAGAGTACGAACACTAGACAAGCAGTGACAATCAAACATAACCACAAACGATTTTGAAGCAAATCATATATTTTGCCAGACAAGGACAAGAATATGTTCAAACATCTGAGGCGATCCATCTTACAGTGGAGTGAAGACAATAGGACAGGACAAAATTCTTACAGTCGACTCCACCAAAGCTATACTTTATTGTAAGCAATCTTACAGGGACATTTTTCGAAGCTTTAAAGCTTCATCATCAGCATTATTGTTACATAGGAGTACTAAAGTGAGAGAAAAAAGAACAATGTCAGACAAACCCCTCAACAACGATAGGTCTAAAAAACTCACCTGTTCTGGAGGAAAAAAGTTATGTTTACATATTATTTATATTATTGAAAATGTTTTTGAAAAAATTATGAAAAAGTTAAATGGGGACCGCAATTATTGCGGAACCCCTTTGACATGTCATGCAATTCGTTTGATGTTTGATTTTTGACATTTCATTTTTCTTGTCTTTAGAGAGTTTGGCATGAACAGATAATAATTTTGTCGATTTTCTCTAAATACTAATTAACATGTTATTCAAAGTTCCCTAACAAAGCACTCAACTATGCATGCACATGCACATTCAGACTTGGGATTTCAACTTTGAAGAAGCGATACACGAACAATATATTCAACACATTGATATAGATACATCAATATCTTTGCATCCCATCTGTTACCAGAGAGAGATGAATCATGCTCATATAAAGCAACATTTTTACTAATATTATTCAATTTGTTATTCAAATCTTCCATTCGGTTTTTCAAATGCAAAAGTTTTTCATAGTATTGTTCATCGAAACTATGAATTCTGCTCGAAATTGCCTGGATATTTGCTTGTTCAATTTTCTTGTATTTCTCTGAAGATATTTGCTGATTTTGTTTCAAATCTTAAATAATGTTTAGGTAATAGTTCTGAATTTTGCTAACTCTGACTTTTGTATCTGAATTTTCTCGCTTTAACTCATTTTCAAACTCTATTTTTTTCTTCTATTTGTTTTCTGAATTCCTCACTCTCTTCCACTTGTAAACCTTGGATTTTTAAATATTCCTGCCCTAAAAATTCGATTCTCAAGTCTTTTCCTTTCAAAATATGTTCGAAATGAATTTCATTATCTGCAAGTTTTTCGTTTCTCGTTGGTTCTAAATTGCAATAAGGATCTTTTCGATACTCGCTCAGTTTATAAATTGTGTGTTCGGCTCTTTCAACATCAAATCTTCCGTTCTGAAGTGTACCTGATAAAAATGCGTTGAAAAATGTTCTATATCCTACCAAAAAAATTGAATACCTGGCCGCATCATATTCTGTTTCCATTTTTGTATAATTACGTTATCCGATGGAAATTCGAATAGAGTGAATTGATTTCCCTGTTCTCACAGTTGGAAACTGCACAAACTTGCACCTTTCTCCTAATTCTCTCAATTTGTCAAACCTATGAAATTTATGTCTTGTACGTCCGTGTACTGTCAGTTCCCGCGTTTTCCATCGATTTATTTGTGGTTATGTCTGATTGTCAGTGCTTGTCATAGTGTCCGTACTCTTAATATACAAAAAACGTCAAAACAGCAGTGTCAAGTACATTTAGGAACTCTAATACTGACTACTTCAATTTTGAGTAAAGCAAGAGGGGAGAATTGAATAAATTTCATGAGGTTTCTTTGTCCAAATTTTTCAAAATTGACTGTTTTTGATACATATTCGCGAGTTATCCACTGACATACTATATGTTGATTATTTCTGGGAACAAATTACTCTCAGATTCTTCAACTTTCTTTGATAACTGTTATATTTTCATTCAACCAGCTCATATGATGGAAAAACAAACTTCTGCATTAGAGTAAAATTGTTTGAATTTGATTTTCACAACTTACAGCACATTAGTTTTAGAGTTTTTATGATTTTGTGAAGTGCTTGTATTAATTCACCAGATCCATTCCTCATCTAATTCATGGCCTTGAATATTTACATTTCCAACGACACAGTAAACAGTTACAGATGTAACCTTCAAAATATCATCATAAACTAACTTTAGTGACTTGTACACAAAATATGGAATAAATTAATATCTAATTAACAAAAATATATTTGATACCTATTAAAAACGGTTAAAATAGGTTGAAGAATCCTTTTATAATTATAATAATTGACCTGACCGGGAATGTTTCTTGTTATTCTTGATTTTGGACTAAGAGTTAATACATTTATTCCCTACTTTATGTACATACTACATTTAAGAATTTCGAGTTTGTGCATCAAGGAAATAATAAATTGAACACCCTGTATAATTAGATTCAGCTTGACAGTATTTTTTTCATTTGGTGACGATTTCTTTCCCTAAGTTATTGTTTTATCTACAGGCGATGAAATGGAGGACAGTATGGTTAGTACAGGTGAGCCAGTGTTTCAAGAAACATCTCAGGGGAATCAAAACCAAGCAGGAGAACTAAGTCATTTGATTGTTTGGCAAGTGTCCACTAGTTGAATCATGCAATTTTTGTACTTTTTATTTCCATACATTTGGGATACTACTTATAGAATAACATTATTGTTGTCCTTGTTCTGAAATGTGGAAGTTAGTTTTTCAATGGGACACCTTGTATATTTCGACATTTCTTTGGAAGAAACTGCCTTTAAAAATTATTATTTATTTAAATGATTGCTCATAGCTCTTGGCTATCCAAAGGTAGAAAAAACGAAATAATAAATCCAGGTTCGTATTCAAAAAAACTTGAGTAGAGGAAGACGAAACGTCGAATTTCAAATTTGACAACACCAACTTGTAGAAAAGAAAAAGTGGCCATGATAAAGTGTCATTTTTTTCGATTGGTTTCGCCAAAGAATTGTTAGAACATATTTTTTCAAAAAATGTCGTTTTTTTCTCGGATATCACCGTTTGTATTCGGTTTTTTTAGGTTTTGAAACGGCCTTTGGTTAAGGTGAGTTCACAATGCAGCGTTTTTGCTTTACGCGCCATGCAACCTGATTGGTGACGCTGAATTTAAAAAATATTTGACGCGATAAAATGTTTTAACTTTTTGGCGTTGCTGCTTTATGTTGTGTTGAGGTTATGTTCCAGAAACCTTAATACATTAAAGCAATATAAATTTTTTCAACATAAGATTTTTCATGAAAATGTAAAAATTTTGAATGCAACTACAGTTCTCAACACACCAAATGGACCACTCATAATTTGACTTTATTTCGAAAACCTGTATTTCTTGAAAAAATTGACCGATCCTCATGCGGTTTTCGATATCAGATGAGAGCTAGAATACTGTAAAAAAGTCCGCAGAACAAAACTTACACAGGGTGTGAAGTGGAACCATTAAACTATGGTCTACATTTCCAATGCTGTCAGAACTCGAGAATTTTTTTTCTGATCAAAAATCAGTCATATTATGATACACTGGGGCCTCATCTCGGGACGTTCTCGTGATTTCTCCTTAATTGGCCATTGGAACAAAAATTCGATTTTTTTTCGAAAGTCTTGCATTTCTTGAAATTTTTCTCTAGAACTCCACTTGAGCTGACTATTGGAAAGAACTGTTCTCATGTTTTGTGGAGGACAATGAAAGACCGAAAAAGCACTATTGTGGAATATACAGGATGATAAGAAAATAGCACAAAATCTCATTTCAGTAAAAAAATCAAAAATGGTGACTATAAAACCATGGCCCATTCGATTCATTATATTCAGAAACGGCCTTCTCGATATCCATTATCCATATTAAACTATTAACTCGAGACGTTTTAATTCGCCTCTAATTGAAATACAGGATGAAAAAGTTCAATTCAAACTTGTTTCCTGATATCGATGAGACTTATCAACTGATTTCCAATATTTATTGCCCAAGTATGCGACAGTTGTTGTTCAATAGTGTTTCACAACTTATCTGACAAATTACGAACTCTAGAGAACAATAATGTTAGAAGAATGTGGTGATCAGCATTATCTTAAGATCTGAATTTGATTGAACATGTGTGGAGCCGAATGAAACTTAACCTATCGAGAAGGCGAGAGGCACCCCAAAATAATGACAACCTTATCCAAGTTAAATCAGAAGAATGGGAGGCAATATCAATAGACTTCATCAACAACCTCATAGAACCTATGTGTTAAATATTGTATCTTTAAATTATAGTTCATATATTATAAATCAATTTTGGAATCAGGATAGTATTCTGTTGTTGCTTAGTACCGTTTTTATTGAAAACAAGATTCATTTCAGACTGTTCTAGCTCTCTTTGGAGCCGATGAAATATCACATATGATATCGAAAACCGCATGAAGATCGGTGAATTTTTTCAAAAAATACAGGTCTTCGAAATAGAGTCAAATTATGAATGGTCCATTTAGTGTGTTGAGAACTGTATATTAAACCCTCATTTCTGAAGTAAATCATTGCAGTATCACTGAAGTAGGTACCTACCTAATTATCTGATTTTCACTAGGCTTTTTTCGTTTTTTGATGAATTACTTATCTGATGCAGCTCTGTATATCTTGGAAGCATTATCCTATATTTTCAGTTTTCTCAGATATTCTCATGATTTTTCAATGCAACCACATTTACAATGATAGGTAATTTCATTGGGAACAGAAGAAAATAATAAAAAATAGTGCAGCAATTCTCATTGTAGTGCGTGACGCGAAAAGCAAAAAAGCTGCAGTGGAAACTCACCTTTACGCGTAAAGTTGCGGAACTTTGTCCAATACAACCGAGATTCCAACGATGAGGCTCCAATTCCAGTTTTCTCATCGTTGTTTGAAATATACAGGATGTTTCAGAATTCTGGTGACAAAAGCCTAGGGGAGATTCCAAATGCTTCGTTTCCGAGAAAAAAATCGAGTTTTTTTTATATTTTGAAAACGCTCAAGCCGATTTGAATGAATTTGTATGGTCCATTCACACAATCATCAGACATTTACTGGTCCAATTAGATTTGATCCTGAATTTTCAGGTGCGTATAATACCCATCGAGCAAGTCGGCTTTTTTGTAGAAAATAAGTCACCCTGTTTTTTGTTCGGGTTCTTCTCAAATATTTAGATAAACCCACTAAAAATACATTTCTGTCTCTCGCTATTTTCTCGTATCTTGCTTCGTGTTCGAGAGAAATGAAAATGCTTTGATATTATCCAAAAATTCATTGCACATTATTATTTATGAATACAAAAAAGACATGTAAATGTATAGAATTTTGTGAGAAATATAATTTCAAGATATTAAAAAACTCTTTTTTTCATCTTGGACACCCTCTATATCTGAAACGAAGCATGTTAATATTAGAGTCCCTGTATATACCTTAGACAAGAGTCCGGACACAGCTATACTTCTGTCCTTTTCTGATTTCAAAAAATGCATTGATGATTGAATAAAGGAATAAGACATATATATCGAGCTCTGTCTTTTCAATTCCCCTATAGTATCAATGATTGTCAGAAAAAATTTTGAGGGTTAGATTATTTGTCAAACCGTTCATAGCCGTAAGTAGAAGTGAGAAATAGGGATATTTTAACTAGAATAACTATTACATTTTCGAATAATGAACAACAGGGTGTTCAAATTTCGAATCGATAGTTTTCATAATCAATTCCTGAGATGACTATTGCAAATTTTCGTCATCAGATATTTCTTCACTTTATAAGATATAAGGAAGATAGTTTAAGTGTTCTACGTGGTATCACATATTATAGCCAAGAAAATATAGTTGTTTTCTGTTGGAATATAAAGATATAAAAGATATATAAGTGTTTCAATATAATTTTCCCCGATTCTCTCAATTCAATAACACTCATCAGAAATAAAAGTGACAAAATCAAAACAACAATATATTTGATAGCGAGTGCTTTATCAGTTGTGTCGGTTTCCCACCTCTTCCTGTAGTCTATATTCACCTGTAAATTTTGAATTTGATCTGAATTAAAAACACCGTGGACTGATGACATAGCAGATTACAGTTTCTCTAAATCTTCTAGTATTGATTTCAAACTTTCAATTTATTTCCGCATCATCTCATTCTCGTTTTCATTCTCTGCGATCGTATCATTCAGTAATTCCCAATACGATGACGACGGGACTGTTTTTTTGAACGTCTCTAGTCTCTATTTCATAAATTGACGGTACAGCAGACTCTTTGAATCAGAAATTCATCAGCTTGAAGGAATCTCTATCAAAATGGGCCTGAAATTCTTCTTTTTTGTATTGTTTTTACAAGTAAATTTGAATATTCACCTCACATATTGCGGATTTCTTGAAAGTAATTCTCCATTCTGGACGTTTCATTGCATTCTTCCATGATCATTTGGAAAATTGAATAGGTAACTTGAATCCCTTTTCTAACGAATTATCGCAATAATGTAGGCAGCAGGACATTGAAATGATTTAAAATGCTAAATTTTGGCGGTCATAAAATTTCAAAGTGACAGTGACAGGAATTCGAAATAATTAAAAAAAAGCGGGCGGACGACTATGTTGTTTCGTCACATTATCAGGTGGGCAAACCAAATGAAAGAAGATATTAAAAACCCCAACGACTGTCAGTTTTGTGTCCGGACTCTTGTCTAAGGTATATACAGGGACTCTAGTCAATATGAACTTCATATGAACTTTTTTACATATTTTGTTGAGAGGAATCACCCCTAGGCATTTATCACCACAACTCTGAAACACCCTGTATATCGCTGTATATAGTATATACCATTAAAAAAGTTGACTATTGGAATACAGTTTTTATTTTGACTTGAAAAATACGCCCTTAAGAGCTTGATACTGAATTTTAAAACACCTTGTTTAGTGTCCCATTCAAAACTTATATCATAGGTACTGTGTCTTTAGGAACCACCCTGTATATTTGAAAACTACACTGAAAAAGGTACGCCATGAAAATCAAGAACATCGTTATTCACAATTAATTTTATTCCATAAGTGGTATTCACACTGATAATTTTATATAACATTGTGAATTGTGGTGCACAGGGCTCAATATCTGAAATGAAATGCAAAGTGCAATGCAGAAACATAGTATATTAAAATAAAACTGATTATTTTATTTATAGACGAGGGAAAATTTATAAAAATGAATAGTTTACAACACTTAATTTCTCAATATTTATCAAGAACAAAAAATATGAAAGCAGGTTTTAAGAAATGTTCAATGTTACACAAAACCACTTGACATAACAATTTTTGTTTTACAATTTGCATTTTGTGTACCTGTTCAAATTTTACAATTCCTTTGCCATTTTGAAATGTTCAATATCAGAACAACTTAGTTATTTCTCAATTATAAATTATTGTACTTTTAGGCTTTATACTGGAGATATATTGAATTTTAAAGAGTATAACAAGGTTCCGTACTGTAAACATTTTTTTTTATTAATGATAAGATACTGCAGTTATTATGTAAAGTATTTTGTTGATTACATGTTTAATTTTTTGTAAATTTATTATTGTGAATTTATGATATTTATTTGTATAGTGCT